CTCCGTGTGTGCAGCGATAAATTATGTGTGTCCACTGAAAGTCAGTCGGGATCTGTGGATCGTGTGATCTGATTAGCAATAGCACGTCTCTGTTAAATACTGCATTTTAGGAGAACAAACACGACGCCGTACCTGTTGTAGAGAGCCGTCGTTTCCAAACTCCGTACCCGAAACTTTAGATTGTTCTTCCGCTTGTATTCTTTGAGGACACTCTCAAACTTTTCCCATGATTCTATGGACTCCGATGGGAAAGGGGGAATGACGTTTGTAATTTTGTCCTCCAAGACCAGCGAGTGCAGCCCTTCAATCTGCTTGCTTGAGCGTTTTCTTGGCATATATTCCGGCCGTTTTGATTTACCATCATCGCCACAGGCACTATCACCCGACTGGTACTAGATTTCCTCAACATTCCGCTTCTTTCTGATAGATAAAACGTCTTTCTTGTGCTCTACAAGAATAACCACAGATATCCAATAAGCAGAGTATAATCGAAGCACCACAAACTTAACGCAACCTTACGGTAAATGCATAAACGATTCGCACCGGACGTCGTGCTGATCGCTTCCGTCTCTTCCTTGACAGAGTTCTGTATCATCTTGACTTCCTCCTCAGCTTTGACTGCTTCCACACCCTTATCAACCGTGACAGCGTGTTCTTTCAGGTGGTGCTCTACACACAACACACAATTTGTTAAAGCTTAATAAATGTTTCAACTGAAATGATAGGCCAAAGTCGCACCCGTGCGTGCGGCAGAGTGCGCATCCGAGCAATCAGATAAACTCCCTTGTCTTCTTCGTCAGGAAGATGGTCGCCATCGTTGGTATCATCCTTCGTGATACCGAGAGTAACCAGCATGTAACTCAGGTCGACGTTTTGATCCCGCCGCCGCCGCCCTTAAATGCATGCGTACAAACTGTAAGATAATTCTACAAGTGCTCCTGCTACGGCAGTTTTCCTACCATGCGCAGCTGGGGTCTCCATTTGAAACGTGTATCGTCTTCTCTGGCCTCTTGTTCTCTTCCCACCCTTCTTCGTATTCGGCTGACGCGTCGTTAGGTCGGTGACACAATCGTGT